TATCAGTATCGATAACCCAAGTTACTAAGCTCGTAAGGTTGTCGTAAGGGTGTCTCAACATCTAATGCCTTAAGACCAACTGGTTTGGAAGTCATTAGCTGAAAGCTCGTTACATGGGTTTAAGATGCATTGTGTTTTAAGTTATATGTATATATATATATTTAAAAAAAAAAGAAAAAGAAAAAAAATTGATCAATTTCTATGAGGAACCCAATCTTAATCCCTTCATCTTCCTACCTGAAATCTCATCAAAAGTTAGGAGACAAGTCTGTCCAGATTCGTCTCACCCTCCCCTTCACACAATACTTTCATAAACTACATACCACACACATGAATTAACTTAATCTCAATAATAAGTATTTTTTCCTCAATTTATGTCTAAAAACCCCAACCTATGATTCAATATCAAGACATCAATTCTTTCTCAAATTTAAAAATGAATTTTTTTAAGATCATGTTTAGAATACCTTACCCGGTACAAATCAAGATTTTGATCTTTAACGAGTTGAAGATTTTCAACTCCCTCCTTTCTTTTCTTCTTGTTCAATTTCTTATTAATCCTTTGCTCTCAAGTGTTTATCCCATCTATAAGCTCTTAATCTTGGATAAGTTTTGAAATTTTAGTGTTTCTCTCTTGATTTCTCAATAATGGGTGTAAAACTCCCTATCTTCTCTCCTTATGGTTCCCACAGAGTTTTTTTTGGTGAGGAGAGAGTATTTATACTTTATATTTTCCCTTATTTGCATTTAGGCCCCCCTGTTTTCCTTTAAGTATATTATTCTCTTCAATTAAATCCAACTCTCAACAGTATCGGTTTTATTATAATGTCTCGAATTATTTCGCCTGGAAATTTATATTCAAAAATTTCTGAATTTCTATTTTTATTTATTTATTATACATATAATTTTTCTTTTCCTGAGGTTTACAATATATATTAAGAGGAAATCTACAAATGCTCATAATTCCACTCTTCATGCACTCATAGTTATCTTTTTTTTTTCACTTAATTTTTTTTGAAGTTTTTTCTATCGATTTAATTCTTTAATATTGCTATTATTTTAAATTAAATTTTATAATTTATTTTTATTTTTATTTATAAAGTTATTATGATCCAAAAAAAATCTTGAAATCAAGCTATAGTTAGCTTGTGCAAAAAAAAATAAAAAATTTCTTGTTTGCAACAACAATTCATCTTGTGTTTTTTTATAAAAAAAACTAGTTATATTATTTGCAGTACATTGCAAGTATTCATAAAGAACATTAATGAATGGTAGTGAAAAAACATCTTCTAAGATTATAACAACTTTTGTTAATTCTAAAATAAGGTTTATATTTTGATTGACATGATTAGAAGGCAAGATATATAGAGCAGTAATGCATGCTGTTGGAGCATATCAACAAACCCAATTATTAAAACATTAAGCAAAACCTTATAGTTCTATAAATGGAAATGAATAAGTGCTTCCAATTTTTTCAATACAAAAAATGAGGAAAAAATTATTGCCCTTGTAGTAGCTGCATCAACATGCATGTTGTTATAAGCCTAACAATCCTGCATAATAGAAAGGGTGAATGTCATAGTCCACTGAAATTTTGCATAGCCAATACTATCATATTAGTGGTTATGTCATAAATTATCATAGTTGTCACATGTCTGTGGCGTTGCGGTGAAAACATCTACTCTCAAATCCTAGGTGTTGGTATCATAAGAAAAATAAGGAAAAATAGGAAGACAAGGATTTCTTATCTTTTATCTGTGGAAAAATATAATGAGAGTCTCCATCAACTATTTTCGTATTAGAAACCCTAACTAGTTTTAGAGATCGGATATGGGGACTAGTTGTGTAAAGGGAAGGTATTAGCACCCCAAATACACTCTATCTAAGATAGGCTGCATTATTTAAGTAGTTGATAAAATCTAAGGTGTTGTCACGTTTTCTAGTTGTTGGTTTGTCAGTGGTTTAAGAAAAGTTTTTCTCGGTAAGTTGTTAGTGGTTTAAGAAAAGTTTTTCTCGGTAAGGAGAAAACCTAACCGGGTAAAACCTAACCGTTATGACATCAACAGAAGAATTTAATATCCAGAATACATCTTATGTATAAGGTCGTAACTCTAAATATTAATAGAAAACAAAATAATTTCTTTAGAATTTTTGAAATCTTGGCCTAGTTTTCGTGCCTTTGATAAACTAGTTATTAAAGTCAAAATACATGCTAATACAGATTTTTAAAATTTTCTTTGTTATATGAAAATACAATATGATTTTTTTTAGAGACTTGACCGTATGCATGAAAACAAAATATCTTTTTATTGTTTTATAATTTTTTTGCATTGTTTTTATGAAAAACGGGTATTTTAATATTGAATTTGTATCTTTACGGTATAAAAATACAAACCAATATTAAGCAAAATCATATAAAAAATACATGTGGAAATTACAAAGTTTTTCTAGAAAAGATTTTTATTTATTGGATTGAGATTGGGTTGGACATGACATAGAATTGGGCTAGGACTGACCTGAATACCACTTACTATATTTTGGGCTTGACCGCGTGGGCTGGGTTGATGTGCCAGCCTAAAACAACCAAATGTATTGTTGCATGTTATTGTTTATTGTGCTCAAAGTAACTAGTGAATTATAATTAGGTGGTTATTGTGCTTTACACAATAACCACCTAATTATATTTCATTTGCTGTAGAAAGTGTATTACTCATGTTTTGCATGCAAATGAAAACGAATGAAAAATTTACAAAGAAATAGGGGAAAGACAGTGAGGCTGACCTGGCGATGGCATTGGTGGTGTAGTCGTTGGCGATGGCGATGGTGGTGTTTATGCTGCAATGATGTTGTTTCAAACGTTGGAGAGAGAGACCATAGAGAGAGACTTTCTTCTCTTCCCTTCTGTTTTCCTTCTCTCTCTTCTACTGTGTTTCTCACCTCTCTATTATCTTTGTTTCTTCTTCTTTTTTCCAATCTCCTTTTTCCTTCCTTCCCTCTATGTTTCGTTCTCTTTTGTCCACAAAAGTTTCTCCTCTTTGCACTGGCTTCATTGTGGTGCTGCTGCTCTTATTAGTTCACAGTGGCACCTTCGTGGTGGTTTTTTCCTTGTTCTCTTTTTTTTTTTCTTCTTTCTGCCTCCTCGTGTGTTCCCCTCTCCCTCTGTTTTTTCTTTTCATTATCGTGTTTTCTCTGTTTTCACCTCATTTCATTGCTTTCTCCTCCTTTTGGTGTAGTACATCCTCTGGCTTTTATAGCCAGAGGATGTAGGCACTTTCCCTTTGTTGTTATAGTGACGGAGTAACGGTTGGTGTGCATCATGGTAGTTGTGAAACATGCCCCTTTGATTAAAGCAAATCGCACCTTCGCCGTTGCAAACATTTCTCGACCAACTGCATGTAACGTCTTCTAAAGAAGACAATGAACAATGTTGAATGAAATGACACCATTTTGCAACTTTAAATGATATTTTTGATTTGGTCCTTGGATATTTACATAATTTTGTAGTCGAGCCCTTATAAAAATTGTAATTAGATTCCTTGATTTTAGTGTCTTCTCCTGTTTGGTTCTTGGTTTTGGATTGTTTCAATTAAGTCCTTAAATGACTATCAAACTTCAATAATTATGTAATTAAACCCCTGATTTGGCCAAAACAACTCTTCAAAATTATAATTGGACTCTAGAACTTTAATTTCTTTCAATAAAAGCCTAAATTAACTTAAAAATTATTTTTTCTTGCAATTAAACCCTCCATAAATTCAATTAAATTATAGATAAAATTTAATTGAATCTAAAAAAAATCTAATTTTGAATATTTTTTTTCAAAATTAAATTTTCTTTGTCAACAAGACTCTCATCAATCAACAATATACTGCTAAATTTCAAACTTTTGCATTGTTGAACCTCCTCAACCAATTTTTGGCTATTTTTCGACATTCCAGCATCCTTTTCTTGCTCTTATTATTTTTTTGGATTTATTTTGAATATTGTTTGATATCTTTGTTTTGTATTTTCTTATTTTTGTGTGCGAACCCAAAAATGGATAACAATAATAGTTTAGAAAAACTATGACATAAATATGATCTAGTTTATCTAAAAAGGTTTCGGCAGTGATGACATGAAAAAAAAATACCATAACATGAATTAATTAATTATAAACTTGAAGCTTGATTAATCTATGAAAGACAACTGTAAAAGTATTCCAAAATCAAATTTTATAAAAAGTGACACGACCAAAAGATTGATGTCTTCTGCCAAGTGCAGGAGTGTCTAAGTAATAAATAATCTGGCAAGACCGGGTCGAACCACAGTGAGGTTAATTGTATAAATTATAAATAATAGCAATACAACATCAACAACAACAACAACAAGAATAATAGTAGTAGTAGTAGTAGTAGTAGTAGTACTAGTAGTAGTAATAATAATAATAATAATAATAATAAGAAAAAGTTGATGAGAACTTTGAGATGAAAGATCAATGCAAGGATTAAACAATGACAACAATAAATATCAAGGTTAGATGATTCACTAATGGTATTTCAAATAAGTATTATATAAACTCTTTTTATTACTCAATTGGAAACCACACATAAAGAAGGTTCTAATCGGATTATAAATGATTAATAACACGACCAAAAAATTTATGTCTTCTCTCAAGTGCAGGAGTATCAAAGTAATTAAAAACTCAGTAAGACTAGGGTCAAACCACAAGGGGTTAATTGTATAAATTATAAACAACAACAACAACAACAATAACGATAATAATAGTAAAAATAATAACAATAATAATAATAATAGCAGCAGCAATAGTAATAGTAATAATAATATAATAACAGAAGAAGAAAAAGAAGAAGAGAAAGAAGTTGATAAACATTACAAAAAAATACAAAGAGAGAAAGGAAGAGCATGATCTTGATCTGGAGACCAAGATGCCTAAATGCATGGCAAATGCCTCCTTTTATAGGCCAAAATTAGGAACTATTGATTTGATGACTAATTGATGAGTGGGTGACCAACTCTTGACTTGGTGACAATCCTTATCTTCTTTTATCTAAATAAAACATCATTAATAACATCATAATTTGAACTAGACATCCACATGAAAGTTCTAGGATATTTTCTTAGCTTTCTAGAAAAAAAATTGAGGTTATTTGGACTTCTAGAACTCAGAACAATGTCTGGGCTACACGATAGATTCAGACTTTTTCATTGTTGCTACAATTTAGACTTAAAAACGGTTTTATTAAAACCTAACCTCCACATGAAAGTTGTAGGCCTATTTCTTACCTTTCTATCCATATAAAGTAGACCTAAATCCAAAATCTACAGCTCCAGATATGACCAAATTACCAAATAGGGTTTTAGTTTGGGCTGTATTAGCATTTCTTTTCTAAGTTTGGCTATCTCTTTGTCCTTTTAATTTCAGTACGTAAACTCATCAATCAATCCTTTTATTTATGTGATGGACCTACATTTAAGATGAACACTTACCATAAATTAAATATATCTTATATTATTAGATATGTTATTATAAAACATGTTTTAGTTAATGACACGACTAAAAGATTAATGTCTTCTTCCAAGTGCAGGAGTGTCGAAGTAATAAATAACCCGACAAGATCGGAGTTGAACCACAGGGAGGTTAATTGTATAAATTATAGATAATAATAATAATAATAATAAGGAAAAGAAGAAAAAGAAGATGAGAACTTTGATATGAAATATTAATATTCATGAGAATTTTGGAAATTGTGGTGTGCTTGAAACGGTGGTTGTGAAGTTTGTACATTGT